CGCGTGCGCTGCCGGGGGTGCCGCGCGCTGTCCGCGCGCGTCGACGCGCGCGCGCTGGCCGCGGCCAAGCCCCCGGCCGCCGTCGTCCGCGACGTCGTCGCCGCGCGCGCCGCGCGGGGGCGGACCCTCGCCCCGGCGCTGCGCTGCGCGGGCGCGCTCGCGGTCCCGCGGCTCGTCGCCGTGACGCTGAACGGGTCCGAGGCCGCGCGCTGCGCGGGCGCGCGCCACTTCGCGGGCGACGCGCTCGCGACGGTCGCCGCGCTGCGCGTCCTCGACCCGGACGACGGCGACGCGCGCGAGCACTCGCTGAGCCGCTTCGGCATCCCGACGGCCGAGGCGCGCGCGGAGGCGTTCGCCGTCGCCGCGCTCGTCGCGGCCGCGGCGCCGTCGCTCGAGCGCCTCGAGTGGAACGGGGAGGCGCTGCTCGAGTCCTTCCTGGGCTCGAGCCTCCTCCGGGCGCTCGTCGACGCGCCGCGGCGGCGGCCGGGCGAGGTCGCGGACCGGCGCGAGACCGCGGCGAGCCACGGGGACCTCGCGCCCCTCCGGAGCGCCCTGGCCACGTGCCACAAGCTCGCGCACCTGCGCTGCGGCCCCCGCGCGCTGCCGGCGCTGCCGTCAGCTGTCGCGGGGCGCGTCGAGTCCCTGGCGTTCACGGGCGGCCAATTCCTCGAGGAGACCGTCGAGGACGCGCGGGCGACGCTCGAAAGCATGGCGAAGCTCCGGGATCTATCCTTCTGGCCCGCGGCCAAGTCCGAGGACCCGGGCCCCATGGGCGGCTTCGAGGGCCGTTTGGACGGCGTGCCGTCGCACGAGGCGCGCGCGGCCAAGTACGCCTGCGCGTCCGGGTGCCGCCTGGAGGCGCTGCACGCGGCGCTGTCTCAGGCCGCGGGCGTCGGCCTGCTGGGCGGGCTCCTCGAGGGCGGCGAGGCGTCGCCTGTCGCGTCCATCGCGTCCCTCGGGCCCCTCCTCGTCCACGGCGACGACGCGTTCAGCCGGCGCGACGGCCGCGCGCCGGCCGTCGTCGCAGCGCTGCGCCGGGGCGCCTTCGCGCGCACGCTCGTGGACCTGCGCCTCGAGTGCTCGCCGACGCGCGCCGCGCTCGAGGGCCTGGCGACGTGCTTCCGGCTGTCGACGCGCCGCGGCGACCTCCGCAGGGACCTGCGGCTGCAACTGGCCGTCGACGTCGAGCGCCTGGACGACGACTGGTCCGACTGCTCCGAGGACGCGTCGGACGACGACGACGAGCGGCCGCCGCCGCTCTACGACGACGAGGACGACACGGACTTTGACGACGACGACCTCGACGACGACGACGCCCGGCGCGCGCGGCGCGCCGCGGCGTTCCTCGAGGACGTCGTGCTCCGCAAGTTGTCCTTCCTCAGGAGCCTCGCGCTCGTCGCGGACGTGCACAACGTCATCCTCAGCCCGGCGCTCCGGAGGCTCCGCGCGCGCAAGCGGCGGAGCCAGCTCGCGCTCGCCCGGAAGCAGCGCACGATGTGCATGTACCTCAAGGGGCACCGGTGCGGCCCGTCGTGCGGCCTGCACCATCCGAACGTCTCCGTCCTTTCGTTCGAGGAGGCCAGGTGGCTCCCGCTCTCCTTTTCCTAAGAAAGCTGCGGTTACTCGAGCCGCGACGCGATGCCGTTGACGTGGAGCGCGCCGACGACGACGAGGACCGTGCTTCCGCGCGCCGTCGGTAAATCGAGCGCCCGTCGCGTCGCGTCGGCGAGGAACTCGTCGCGCGCGTCGATGACGTTCGCGCCGATGCGGCCGAGGAGGTCGACGCTGAGCACGACGCTGAGCAGCGCGACGGCGCCGTTCGCCGCGGAGATGGCGTGGATCGCCTCCGGCGGCACGGACGGCGCCGCGGCCGCCGCCGCGGGGAAGATCGACGGGTAGGACCCCCCGAGCAGCACCGTGAGCGACACCTCGACGGCCGCGGCGGCGGCGGCGACGGCCCCGGCGAGCGTCGCGAGCTCGCCCCGGAGGGTCGAGTCGTCGAGCACGTCGCGCCAGAGGCTGATGGTCCCGTCGCCGCCGTCGCCGGCGATGGCCGCGGCGAGCGCGCGCAGGCCCCGCGCCGTGTCGCGCGCGCGCGAGCCGCGCGCCCCGTCGTCCGGCCCGCGGTAGACGGACGCCATGGTCTCGACGACGTCCTTGTCGCCGAGGACGACGTCCGCGCCGTTGGCCTCGGCCCAGCGGAGCGGCACGCGGAACTCGACGCCCGGCCGGAAGCCCGCGAGCTGGCTTAAGGCGTAGACCGTGCCCAGCGCGAGCGCCATGGTCCCCGCGCCCGCGCCGCGCCGCGCGAACGCCGCGCGCGCGCCGCTGAGCACCTTGGCGTACTCGTCGCCCACGTCGACACGCTTCGTGTCGAAGGTCGCGTCGTCGCTCGCCATGCTCCGCCACCGAGAAGCGCAGAGCTCGAGCACGACGACCGACGGCGACGCCGCGTCGAGCGTCGCCTGCACGGCGTCGGCCGACGACGTCGCGCCGTGGAGCACGCCCTGGATGATCACCGTCGTGTTGCCCAGGTCGCGCCGCACGGCGAGCGCCGGCCGTGGTGGGCTCGTCGGCACGGGGATGGCGCGGAGGGCTTTCGCTCGCGCGGGCGGCGGCCCGCGCGTCGCCGTGCGCAGCGGCGCGCGCGTCGCCGTGCGCAGCGGCGCGCGCAAGGCCGCGCCCAGTTGTGTGTAGGCGAGCAGGAGCAGCACAGACATGCGCGCGACGCCGCCTCGTGCACCCGCGCCAGCCGTGCGCCCAGCTCGGGCTCGACCGGCTGCCATGCTTTCGAGCCCATGTGCTGCGCAATCCTCGCACAAGGAGCCTGCTTGCAGTTCAAAAGAAGCGGCGCAGGCGTCTCGTGCGCGCCGGTGCGCGAATGCGACCGCGTCCTGGGACCCGCCTTACGACCCGTCATGGCGCGCCCCGGCCCGCCCGCCCGCCCTCGCGCCCGAGCAAAGGGAACAGTGACTGTGTATGTAATATGGTATTGAGGCGGAAGCGCCGCGGCCCCAGAGGGCGGCGACGCCGCCGGGTCCGGCATGTGGTGGCGCCGGGCCTTGGTCGGTTTTTTCTTCTTTTTCTGTGTTTTTTGTGAGATTCGTCAGGGGGGGCGGGGGCTGGGGTGGACTGACGGCACGAGTGGACGCGCGAGAGCCGGGGAGAGGATCGGCGAGGCGTACGAATAGGGGTGTGTTGGGCGCGGGCGGGCCGGGGGGCCCGCCCGGTGGGGAGGCTGGTGTGGTGGAGCGTCATGCCGCGAGGAGGGCCGCGCCTCGTCTCGCGGCGCCAGCGCGACGCGGCGGCGTTTCGAGACGCCGCCGCCGCCGCGCGCGCCGGCTACCCCTACCTCTTGCCCGGCGGCGGCATGGGCGTCGCCGGTCGTCGCGCGCCGGCGCCGCCCATGAGGCCCGTGGGGCGCCGGTCGTTGATGGGCGACAGGGACTCCATGGCGACGGCCGGTTTGAGGATGTGGAACGAGCACATGAGCGTCTCGTCGATGGACATGATGGCGCCTGCGGGGGGGGGCGCGGGTGGCGCCGCGGGCGGGCGACGCGCGCGCCGTCGCGTTCGGGAGACGCGCGCGGTCTCTCTTCGCTTGTGTGTCGTCGTCGCGGGCGGCCGCCGGGTTTTCCCGCGGCCGCCTCGGATTTTCAGTATGAATACGGATCACCGACCCGCCCCCCGAAACACGGCGCCGCGGACGCCGCGAGTGTGCCGGCGTTGTCGAACTCGCCGCAGTAGTTCGGCGCGGAGAAGAGCGTGACGAGCTGGCGGCTCGCGAAGAACTCGTAGCCGTCCTCGACGACCTGGTGCGCGCGGACGAGCAGGTCGAGGTCGTGCTGCTTGAGGAACTTCTGGACGACGTCCGGGCCGAAGGTGTAGGAGACGCCCCGCTCGCTCTCGGCCCAGCCCGTCGTGTGGGGCTCGGGGTCCGCCCAGAGGAAGTCGCACATCATGCCCGCGTCCGGCACGTCCGTCGGGCGCCGCAGGGACCCGATCTGGTCGAAGGTGCGCAGCTCCGGCGACAGGCCCCCGTGGACGCAGAAGATCTTGTCGTCGACGACGGCGGCGACGGGCATGCAGTTGAAGACGTCGTTGAACTGCTTCCAGATCTTCAGGCCGTACGCGCGCTTGCACTCGTCGCAGAAGCCGTAGATGCGGTTGATCGCCGCGCACTCGTGGTTCCCGCGGAGCATGAAGAACGTGTCCTTGTGCTTCGCCTTGTAGCAGAGCAGCAGGAGCACGGCCTGCGCGGCTCGGCCGTCGCGCGCGGGACCGCGACGCCCCGGACGCGAGAACGCCCCCCCCTCGGACGCCCCCCCCGCCCGACCGCGCGCGCGCGTCCGCCCCGCGGCCCCCGGACGCGCGAAAACCCCGCCGGACCCCGCGGCGCGCCTCCAGGCCCGACGGCCCGCGATCGACGTAGTCGCCGAGGAATAAGTAGTGGACGTCGCTGGGCCAGCCGCACTCCTCGAAGAGGCGGAGCAGGTCCTTGTACTGGCCGTGGATGTCGCCCACGATCTTGAGGGGCGCCGTCAGCTCGAGGAGCATGGGCTGGCCGAGGAAGACCTCCTTCATCTTGCGCAGCAGCGCTTGCACGTCCTTCTGGGGCACGCACGCGCCGCCCCCCTTGGCGCCCCCGGACAGCGACAGCGACGCCATGCCGCCCGTCCGCCGGGCCGTACTCGCCGCGGGCTTGTTGTGGTCCAGCAGCTTCTTGATCATCTCGTCGACCATCGCGATGAATTCCGGCTCGTCGCCCATGATTGTCGGGCACCGCGCACGTCGGCGGCGGGGGTGTCGGAGGCGGAGGTCGGGCGGGGGGCGGCCCGAACGCGCGCCTTTTTTTAGCGCGCCGACGCGGGCGGCGGAGGACGCGGGCACCCGGCGGGAGGCGGGGCGGCCGTGGTTATCGTCGGCAGCGACGCCTGGAGTTTAAGATTGTGGTGTGCAAAAGGGATACATTGGAACCTTTCACTTCAACAAAAACGTTCAGCTCTCGACCGAGGGCTGGAGGCAGCCCCGCGCGTGGACAGCGGTCCCAGCCCGCGCGTGGACTTCGGTCCGCACAGGGTGAGACCCGCCGCAGCGGTCCGCACAGGTTTGAGACCCGCCGCAGCGGTAAAAAGCCCGCGATGACGCGCAGCCCGTCGCTGCCGGACGACTGGCAGCAGCTGAGCACGCCCTGCGGGCGGTCCTACTACGTCGACAACGCGTCGCGGCAGTTCCACTTCGCGCCGCCCGCGAACGCGCGCGCGGAGCGCGCGCAGGCCGTGCCCGCGGAGAGCTTCCTGCGCGAGCTCGCCGACATGTTCCCGTCGTGGGACGAGGCCGCGCTGCGCAGCGTCGTCGAGGCCAACGGCGACGACCGCGAGGCGACGATCTCGCAGCTGCTCTCGTGGACGGACGACGACGCGGGCGCGGCGGCGACGGCGCAGGACGTGCGCGGCGCCGAGGACGCGGCGCTCGCCAAGGCCATCGCCGCGTCCAAGGCCGACGAGCAGCGCGACTTCGACCGGAAGTGGGGGCTCGGCGGCGGCGACGCGGCGCTCGCCGGCGCGCTCGCGGCGGCGGCGCTCGAGGCGCCGCGCGAGCCGCCGCCCGTGCTCCGGCGGGACTTTTACGACGACGTCATGGCCAAGCGCCTCGCGGCGACGATCCCGCCGGAGGCGACGGGCGCGTTCCTGCGGGCCGTGAGCAAGTTCAAGAGCCTCGCGAAGCACGCGCACGAAAAGGCGCCGCGCGAGCACCGCCCGAGCTTCGTGCTCCGCGCCGCGGAGAGCCAGCGCATCGTCCACGCCGCGACGCGCGAGGACCGCATCGCGGCGGGCGTCGCGCTGCTGGAACAGCGGCTCCGCCACCTGTCGCTGAAATCCGTGGACATGGTCGATGACGGCAACTGCCAGTTCCGCGCCATCTCCATGGAGCTCTACAACACGCAGGCGCACCACGCGGCCGTCGGCGTCTCTTTCGAGACCGGGAAAACGAAGAGAAATCGTTACCGACGTGCTTGGTAGGCGGCCGTGCGGAAAACAATCATCGCCTACCTGCGGAGCCACGAGGACGCGTTCTCCGTCTTCGTCGGCGACGCGGCCGAGTGGGGCGGCTACCTGTCGCGCATGGCCATGGACCGGTCCTGGGGCGACGAGCTCACGCTCCAGGCCGCGTGCGCGGCCTACGACGTCGACATCTTCGTCATCACGACCGAGGCCTCCAACTTCCACCTCCACTACCGGTCGCCGTCCGCGGGCGAGACGCCGCGGCGGCTCTTCCTCTCCTACGTGTCGCCGATCCACTACAACGTCGTCGCGCCGAGTCGATAAGCTTTTTACCAGCCCGACCCCGACGTCGCGCTGCCGAAGAAGCCGCCCTCGCGGTCCGGGCGGATGACGACCTCGACGTCGCCGTAGACGTAGGTCACGCACGAGAGGCGGCAGGACGGCTCGCAGCCCTGGAGGTTCAGCGTGCCCTCCTCGTCGTTGGACTTGCGGTTCGTCAGGGCGGCGCCGCCCGTGAGGTCGACGATGCACGTGCCGCACATCTGGTGGCCCGCGCAGTTCGTCCAGGTCGTCGTGCCCCGGTAGACGTCGAAGCCGTTCGACACCAACGCGTCGCGGAGGTTGTCGCCCTTGTTCACGACGATCTCCGCGCGGCGGCCGCAGTCGTCGACGGTGATCGTCGCCGTCGTGGACTCGTCGCCGGGCGCCGCGCGGCCGAGGCAGCCCAGGAGGTCCGCGCGCGAGCCCGCGAAGACCTCCAACTCGACGGCGGGCGCCTCGCGGCCGAGCAGGGTCATGACGTCGTCGAAGCGCAGGTCGAGCACGGCCGTGCCGTTGATGGCCACGAGCTGGTCGCCGGCCCGCACCTTGCCCGACAGCTCCGCGGCGCCGCCGGGCAGGAGCAGGCGCACGTAGACGCCCACGAAGCTCAGGTCCGTGCCCCACTCGATGCCCGTCGCGCCCCGCGGCAGCTCGACGACGGACGCGCGGCCGTCGGCGACGACGCCGCCGGCGGACGCGGCCGCGGACTCGGCGAAGAGGTCCGCGGCCGCGTCGACGGCGACCTTCTGGCTCGGCTTCGTCCAGCGCCGCTTCTTCGTCGTCGGCGCGGCGTCGTCGAGAATGGCGGGCTTCTCCCAGACCGTCTCCTCCGTGACGGCGTTGTAGTAGTAGGCCTTGCCGTCATCGGTCGCGTAGGTCGTCCAGTCCGCGGCGCTCTCCGCCGCCGGCGCCGGCGCGCCGCCGAAGAGGCCGTCGGGCGGCGCCGCGGACGACGGCGGGTCCCAGCGGCCCATGCTGAGCGCCGTCGGTCGTCGCAGCCGTCGCATCGGTCGCGGGCCATGGTACGCGAGCAGCGGCGTGAGCAAAACTACAAGGCGCCATGGCCGCGCGGATCTTCGATGCTTGCAGGCCATCCTGCAGCTCGAGCAAGCGAGTTTGCGGTCGGCGTTGCCGGTCAAGGCAACGTTGCCCCAGGCTGCCCGACGATGCCGCCGCGCGTCGGCCTGGGCCCGCTGCCCGCCAACGACGAGTACAAGGCCTTCGGGTCCGCGCCGTCGGCGGAGGAAGCCTTGAAGGCTGCGCAGGACTGCGACGAGCAGCGGCGCAAAGCCGCGCAGCAGCGGCCGCCGCCGCCGACCGCGGCGCCGCGCACCCCCTGGCACCCGCCGCTCGCGAAGCCCTGGGCGCCGGAGCCCGTCAAACGAGATCCGAACGCGCCGAAGGAGGAGAACATCTGGGAGCGCGGCGCGCCGCCGCCGAGCAAGCGCTGCGAGGCCATCCGCGGCGCGCTGCTGGGTTTGCCGACGACGTGGGCGCCGCGCTGCGTCGAGGAGGCCTGCGACAAGCGGGAGAAGATGGTCTGCACGGGCTGCCGGCGCATCAGGTACTGCTGCCGGGCCCAGCAGCGCGAGCACTGGACCGTGCACCGTGTCTACTGCCGCCGCGACGCGCCGCTGCCGGGCTGCGCGACGTGCGCGGCGGGCATGGAGCCCGCGGACGTGCGCCACACGGCGTGCTGCGGCCGCGAGTGGTGCCGGGCCTGCGCTTCGAAGGGCCGCGACGCGCCCTGCCCCTTCTGCGGCGCCGCGGGGCCGTCGCTCGACGCGGACCGGCTCAAAAAACTAAAAATCGAGGCCGACGAGACGGACCTGGAGGTCGCGCTGCGGCGCGGCCGCGCGTGGCTCTTCCCGCTCATGCGCCTCATCGAGCTCGTCGCGCGCTGGCGCCTCGGCGAGGACCCGGCGTGCGAGTTGGCGAAGCGCCACGTCGGCGCCGTCGACGAAGCGACGCGGCGCTGGGACCCGCCGCGCGAGCTCCAGAACCTGGCCATCGAGGTCGGGTCCTGGGTCGACGGCATCGTGCCGGGCGTGCCCGCGGACCTCGCGAGGCTCGTGCCCGACTCCGCGCGGCGCGCGCTGAAACTTTCCGACGGCGCGCTCGCGCTCCGGTTCAAGGCCGCGTGCGCGGGCCGCATCGGGCCCTTCGTCGACGCCTTCGTCGCCCAGCACGCGTCGGCGGACGCGGAGCACGCCCAGGCGTGCGAGGGCGCGCGGCTCGCGGGCCTCGCGGCCGTCGACGCGCTCGGCGCGGCCATGCCCGCGAAGATGCGGACCGCGCTCGAGACGCGGACCGTCGCGTAGTTTTTTTATACAGGGGGCGCCCCTAGCGCTTCGACGACTTGCGGCGCTTCGCGGCGGGCTTCTTCGCCGCGGGCTTCGGCGCCTTGCGCTTCGCCGCGGTGTACTGCTGGAGCGCGGCCGTCGCCGCGGCCACCGCGCCGTTGAGGGGCGCGCCGCCCGCGAGCGCCGCGAGCATGGCGTTGGCCGTGGCGAGGTTCGCGCGCGCGTGGCCCGGGTGGCCCGCGCGCGTGTACTCGACGACGTACTCCGGGTAGACCTGCGCGTTGTCAAAGACGCCGAACATGAAGCCCTGGCTGTTGTAGTGGACGACGTCGTCGGGCGAGTTCGACACGGAGTCGCACAGACCGTCGCCGTCGGCGCGCGCCGGCGGCCGCCGGAGGCCGTGCGTGCCCCGGCCGCAGTGGCCCAGGAGCACGCGGCAGACGAGCATCTTCAGGCCGCCGGCCGCGTCCGGCGGCCGCGCGGGGCCGCCGCGGCCCCGGGCCGCCGTCGCCTCGGCGCTGTGGTCGGGCATGCGGCAGTACTGGTCGCTGTAGGAGCTCTGGTCCGCGAAATACGCGCACGCGCCCATCGCGCCCGTGATCTGCGACAGCCGGAAGTCGACGCCGTCGTCGAGGATCTTGTCGATGGTCGCCGGCGCCGCGCCGTGGAAGAGGTAGCGCTCGCGGCAGGGGTTCTCCGACCCGCAGTAGGGGCTCGCGGACCCCTCGGGCGCGACGCCGGGCAGCACGTCGTGCTGGAAGATCATGCTCTCGCCGCCGCCCATGTCCTTGGCCATCTTCGCCCGGCGCGCGCAGTAGGGGTCCCACAGATCGTCGTTGTGCACGCGGCGGATGGCGCGGATCGTCGCGTCGGGGATGCCGTGCGACAGCACGCGCTGAGCGACGGACGCGTACTCGTCGCTGCCCTCGACGAGGTCCACGACGGTCTTGCCCCGGGACCCGTCGTCGACGAGGCGCTTCCCGGCCCCGTCGCGCCGCCAGTAGACGGGCCGCGTGCTCTGCTTCTTCTCGTGCTCCTTGTGCTTTTTTTCCTGCTCGAGCGCGTCGACCTTCCGCGCCATCGCCTGCTTCTCCGCGAGCAGCGACTTGAGCAGGGCGTCCTTGGCCTTGCCGCTGAGCTCGTCGGGGTTCACGACTTCGACGACGTCCTCCTCCGCGTCGTCGCGGCTCGGCCGCCCGCCGGACAGCGTCACGGGCGCGGCGAACGCCGCCGCCGCGCCGTCGACGTGCAGCTCCGGCGACGCCTTCCGGGGCGCGGGCGTCGTCGACAGGAAGCAGACCTCCTGCGAGTCCTCCTCCTCGTCGATCTCGGCGCGCACCGGCGCCGGCGCGTCGTCGTCGTCGCTGAGGATCTCGATGACGTCCATAGTGGCAGTTTGTCCGGCGTTCGCTCCGAGTTCGGCGCCGAAATTCGCGGAGTGCGTCTCGAGGGTTTCGAGGGTAGGGGATGTGTCTTCCCCGAGGGCTGGGTGAGGGCCCGCGGGGGTTGGGGGCTGCGGGGCCGAAGGCCGAGGCGCGGCGTCCCGAGTCGCACGGCGGATCGATTCCGCTGCTCGACTGCTCGATCGACCTTGATCGCACCTCCTCGCCACCTCTGCCGCAAGCAAATCCGGCCACCGCCGTCCGCCGCCAGCCAACACCCGCGCAAAAGAGCCCGAAACCACCAGCAGCGATGCCTTCGCGGACCATCGCATCGCTCGCGCTCGCCTGCGCATCTCTCGCCGACGCCTTCGCGCCGGCGCCGTCGACGCGCCTCGCGCCGCTGCGCCACGCGCCGCGGCGGTCGCTCGTCGCGCGGTCGTCGTCGTCGGACGTCTTCGGCGGCGCGAGCACGCTCGCCGTCGCCGGCACGGGCTCGTCCGACGACCCGTTCCTCATCGGCCTCGCGGGCGCGTCGATCGTGCTCTTCGTGTTCGTCGTCGGATCCGTCGTCTTCCTCACGGCCAAGGAGCAGCTGACGAAGAAGGAGATCAACGAGGACGAGTTCAAGCCGCGGCTCCCGACCATGGCGGAGCTGGGCGACGTGGACGACGACGCGGCCGCGGCGCCGCCCATGCCCATGGCCGAGGGCTCGAACCGGCGAGCGCGGCGCGAGAACCAGAAGCTCATGAAGAAGCCGCCGCCGAAGCTCGGCGACAGCGCGCGCTTCTAGGGGGCCTGGTTCTTACGCTGGCTTCAGTCGTCGTCGTGGGTCGCGGGGAATCAACCCGCAACGTAAACCTCAACGTGCACTTGCACATTCATAATTCGGCGCGATGATGGAGTGAATTCTCCACGGGGGCTGCCTTGTACCCGAGTGAATTCTCCACGGGGGCTGCCTTGTACCCGAGTGAATTCTCCACGGGGGCTGCCTTGTACTCCACGGGGGCTGCCTTGTACCGCGACGACGATGATGGAGCAGCCATTCCTCAGGCAAGAGTCGGCGGCGACGTCCCACGCGGCCTGGTCGCCCCGGTCGCCGGCCTACGAGGCGTCGCGGCTGCGCTTCTACGTGCTCTTCGTGCTCAGCTTCTTCTCCTGCATGCAGTGCGCCTGCTGGTTCGCCTTCTCGTCCGTGGACCCGGCCCTCGTCAAGGCCTACATGGGCGCGGCGGTGCCCAACGACGCGACGATCGCCCTGCTCCTGAACTGGGGCCCCGTCGTCGGCGTCGCGGCGGCGCCGGCGCAGCTGCGGCTCGGCGCGGACGCGCGGGGCCTGGAGCGGTCGGTCCGGGCCGGCGCCTGGCTCGTCTTCCTCGGGTCGGCCCTTCGCTGCGCGCCCTGCCTCGTGGCCCGCGCGGGTCGCGGCGCCTGGTGGTGCGTGGGCTGCGTCCACGGGGGCCAGATCCTCAACGCGGCCGCGGGCCCCCTCTGCATGGGCACGGTGTCGCGGCTGAGCGTCGTCTGGTTCCCGGAACGGGAGCGGCTCTTCGCGACGGCCGTCGGGTCCATGGCCAACGGCCTCGGCGTCGTGCTGATGTACCCACTCGCGCCGGCGATCGTCGCGAGGCCCCGGCAGTTCGAGCTCCTGCTGCTCGTCCTGCTCGCGTGCTCCGCCGTGCCCGCGGTGCTCGCGGCGGCCAAGTTCCCCGCGGCGCCCGACGCGGCGCCGTCCGCCGCGGCGGAGGCCGCGCGCGCGCGCGTCGACGGCGAGCTCGCGGGCCGCAAGGCGGCGCGCCGCGCGCCGGCGCCGTCGGCGCTCGCGTCCTACGCGGCCACCGTCGCGGCCGCGGGAATGGTCGCGGGAAGCGCGACGGCGTGGCAGGGCGTCTTCCAGACGGTCCTCAAGGGCCCGCTCGGGGAGAAGCGCATCGGCCTCCTCCGGCGTCCCGCGGCCGCGACGATTTTCGAGAGATTTTGGGTGGGAACACCCGGCTCCGGACGCTTCGGCGCGCCCTCGCTTCGCTGCGGGTCTCTCGAGGAACCCGCGGCGCCGTCGCCGGGGGGTTTTGGGACACGGAGGCGGGTGGGGTGGGAAAACGAAGAGAAATCGTCACCGTCATGCTCGGTAGGCCTCCTCGGCCTCGCGAACACGGGCCTCGGCTGCGCCGGCGCCGTGGCCGTCGCGTCGCCGCCGGGCACGCGGCTCGCGCGGAAGCTGGGCTTGAAGGCCGTGCTGCTCGCGCTCCTCGCGGCCGCCGCGGGCCTGGCGCTCGCCTGGGCGCTCGTGCCCCACGCGTCGAACTTCGCGGGCGCCGTGGCGCTCGTGGGCGCGCTCGGCGCGGCGCAGGGCGCGGCGGACCCCGTCTTCGTCGAGCTCGCCGCGGAGCTCGTGCCGGTCAAGGAGACGACGTCGAACGGGATCCTGGTGCTCGTCTGGAACGCGACGTCGCTCGTGCTCCTCGCGCTGCCCCCGAGCCTCGGCGCGGCCATGAACTGGGCCTTCTGCGCCGCGCTCCTCGTCTCCGCGTCGCTCGTCGCGCTCGTCGTCCGCGAGGTCCACTGCCGGCCCACGGACGCGGACGACGCGTGGGCGGACCACCCGCGCCACATCCAGGAGACGGGCTCCGAGGTGTCCACGACCTTCTAGCGTCTAAATCGGCCTCGCGACGGGCGGGACGCACAGCTTGCAGTGGCGCGCGAGCTCGCCGCGGATGGGCCGCCGGCACTCCGCGGGCGTGCAGTCGCCTACCAGATGCGCCGGTGACGATTTTCCCCCCCCCGGTCGAACTCGCTCTCTCGAAAGTCGCCGCGGCGGCGGGACGCCGGCGGTCGCCGCAGACGCACCGCCCGCAGCGCCGGCAGTGGTGCCGCCGCCGGAACACGAGCGTGAAGGGCGCGCGGCAGAGCTCGCAGTGCGTGCAGGCCGCGTCGGGCGTCCAGGTCGACGCGCGCCGCGCCGGCGGCGCGATGTCCGGCGCCGGGTCGACGTCGCGGAGCCGCGCGCGCGCGTCGCCCGCGAGCCGCCGCCGATAGAGGTCCGCGACGGGCGCGTAGTAGCGGAGCGCGATGGGCTCGAGCGACAGCCACGCGCGCCGCGGCAGGCCCTGGGCCTCGAGGAAGGCCGCGAAGGCCGCGTTGCCGCCCCTCTCGAGCTTCTCGCGCTCCGCGGCGGTGACGGCGTCGAGGTTCAGCGAGCGCACGTAGGAGATGTGCACGCCGAGGCTCCGGTGGACGCCGGCGCAGTTGATGCAGAGGTAGGTGCCGTGGTTGAGCGAGACCCAGGGATCCACCGTGGCCGACGCGTCGCAGTCGAAGCAGCGCGCGTTGTCGATGAGTATTCGGGGAGCCTCGTGCTCGCTTATGATTGGGGGAGCCTCGTGCTCGATTGAGGCGGCAGCCTCGTCGAGGGTCTCCATCGAGGAGGCAGCCTCGTCGAGGGCAGCCATGCTCGTCAAAGATGCACCGAGTTTTTGCTGTGCTCTTCGAGCTGAGCAGCCCCAGTTCTTGCTCCCATCTCGAGTGCCCCACCACGGCATCGTGTCGGCCTTGACGTCCTTGATGTTGACCTCGGAGTCGACTCCCGCGATCTCGTTCATCACTGCTACCTCGGCTGCGACGCGCCCGCAGTCTCACCGATCACTCATCGTACTATGCTGACCATCCTCTCCATGCTCACCGCAGCGAGCGCCCTCCGCGCGCCCGCGGCCCGGCGCCTCGCGCTGCGGAGCGCCGTGTCCATGTCGGCGGAGGCCAAGACGTGCGTCGTCACGGGCGCGAGCCGCGGCATCGGCCGGGCCATCGCGCTGGACCTCGGCGCCCAGGGCTGCAACGTCGTCGTCAACTACGCCGCGTCCGAGGGCCCGGCGCTCGAGGTCGTCGAGGCCATCAAGGCGTCCGGCGGCGACGCCGTCGCGGTCAAGGCCGACATGGCGTCCGTCGACGAGATCAAGGCCCTCTTCAAGGAGACGGCGGACCACTTCGGGGGCTGCGACGTGCTCGTGAACAACGCGGGCATCACGAAGGACGGCCTGGCCATGCGCATGAAGCCCGCGCAGTGGCAGGCCGTCATCGACGTCAACCTCTCCGGCGTCTTCTACTGCTCCCAGGCGGCCTTCACGCAGATGGCGAAGAAGCGCGCCGGGCGCATCATCAACATGTCGTCCGTCGTCGGCCTCTTCGGCAACCCGGGCCAGGCGAACTACGCGGCCGCCAAGGGCGGCGTCTGCGGCCTCACGATGTCGAACGCGAAGGAGTTCGCGGGCCGCGGCGTCACGGTCAACGCCGTCTGCCCGGGCTTCATCGGCACGGAGATGGCCAACGAGCTCGGCGAGGACATGCTCAACAAGGTCAAGGAGGCCATCCCCCTCGGCCGCCTCGGCGAGGCCGACGAGGTCGCGGGCCTCGTCCGCTACCTCGCCCTCGACAAGAGCGCCGCCTACATCACGGGCCACTCCATGACCATCGACGGCGGCATCGCCATCGGCGCGGGCTTCTGAGCCCGCGCCGCGACGCGCGCGGCTAAGCAATTTGCGCCCGGACTTCCGAGGGAAAAAACGCCCTCGGAAAACGCCTCGAGCCGCTTTCGGCGAGAACGACCTCGTGCCGCAAGAAAACGACTGCGAGGACGTTCTCGCAGGCCGTTGGCGAGGCCATTGCGCGCTGCGGACGGCGTCGACGCACGCCGGCCTCCACGACTGCGGTATCTGAGCATGGAGACAGGAGGCTACCTAAAAAAAAGTACCAGACGCCACCCCCGGTTCTTGGTGCCGGCCACCGGCACCCACCCACCCACCTCCCGACCAATCAACGAGCTCCTTTTGTTGTTGGTTGCCTTCAAGTTGCCGCGTCGCGCGCCGCTGGGCGATCGCTGAATTGCCACACCGCGCGCGCCGCGTAGCGCCGCGGTTCGACCCGGAGTCGCCGGTGCCGCTGCAGGAGGCGGCCGCCACCGTGCGGCCGCGGGCCCGCCGACGAACGCCGGGCGCGGCCTGACTCGACGAGGACACCGCCGTGCTCCATGGCACCTATTCCCGACTCCCGGTGCGACGCAGGACGCAGGACGCGCGCGGCCTCCACACGCGCGCGTGCGCGTTACAAGTACCCTTTAAGTACACTTTGGATTTTTGAAACCCGACCTCCGGGCCCACCCACCCACTGGGGGGTGCCGTCGGATCTTTTGTCCGTGGTCGACTCTCGATGGAGACCTGAATGACCGGTGTAGCATGACGATGTTCGGTCTTTGACCGCTTGCAATGGAAAATTCGCTGGACCACGCGTCGCTCCCGGACCCCAGCGAACCCTACGAGTACGAGACGGCCTACCAGCGCGTCTTCCGACCGGACAAGCGCCTGCCGGACGACGCGGAGCTGAAGCGGTTCGCAGCGCTCGACGCCGTCGCGCGGTACCCGGCGGGCGAGCGCGCGGAGATCGTCCTGCGCGCGCTCTCCGCGCTCGTCGCGAATCCGGCGGGCCCGCTCGACGCGGCCGCCGTCGCCGCGTGGGTCGCGGACCGCGAGCCGCCGCCGCGGTCCACCGGCGCGGACGGCGGCGAGAGCCGCGCGACGCACGAGGCCTGGGCCGCGGACCTGCTCGCCGCGGCGCGCGGCGCGAGCGACCGCAAGGAGACCGTCCGGTACGTCGCGCGGCGCGCGGGGCGGAAGATCGGCGACGTGCTCCGCTGGTACTACGGCTCGCACAAGCACGACGCGCCGGCCTACGCCGCGCTCAAGGCGGCGCGCTACACGACCTGGGTGGCCGAGCAGAGCGGGGACGCGGCGAGCGGCGAGCCCGCGCGGCGGCCGTCGCTCGCGCTGTCGCCCGCGAAGCGGCCGCGCGGCCGGCCGCCCGAGGCGCCGGCGGGCCGCGCGCCCGCGAAGAAGGCCAAGAAGGCCGCGGCCCCGAAGAAGGCCGTGCTGGACCTCCCGGGCGACGGCGACGCGCCGCCGCCTGAGGTCGACCTGCCCGCGGGCGCCGCGGACGCGGCGCCGCCGCCGGCCGCGGGCGCCGCGCGCGGCCCCGCGCGGCCGCCGCCGGGCGCCGCCGCCGCCGTCGCGCCGGCGTCGCGCCTTCTGGCCTTCCGCGGGCGCTCCTGGTTCGTCGCCGGCGGCGGCGAGACGCTCGAGGACGTCGCCTCCGCGTGCGGCGGCTGCTGCCCCGAGCAGCTCGCGTTCATCAACGCGCGCATGGTCGCGCCTACGCCCGACGGCTGGCTCGACGGCGACGCCGCCGACCGCGCCGCCGTCGACGCGGCCTTTGGCGACGCCGGCGCGCGGCTGCCCGCGGGCGCGGCGGTTTTGCTGCCGTCGCTCGGCGGTCCCGTCGCGGCGCTCCGCGTCGCGCCGGACGCGGCGAGCGACGCCGCGCTCGACGGGCTGCGCCTCGGCGACCGCGCGGGCGCCGTCGTCGCGCTCGCCGCCGCGCCCCGCGACGTCTGGGCCGACGACGACACGACGGCCCTCGCGTACGTCGCGCGAGCGGGCGACACGCTCCGGTCGATCGCGGGCGCGGTCGCGGGGCCGCGCGCGCTCGCGGCCTCGAGGGCCCCGCCGCCCGCGCTCCCCGCGCGGGACGGCGCCGCCGGCGACGCGCTCGTCGACGAGCTCTGGCTGCGGCAGCTCGAGTGGCGCGCGGCGCCGCTCGGCCGCGACCGCCGGCTCCCGCGGGGCGCGCCCGTGCTCCTGCCCGGCACGGCGGCCTGGCCCCACCTCCCGGCGAACAAGCGGCGCCGACCCGTCCACCGCGACACGTCCGCGGGGCTCCTCGGCGACGTCCGCGGCGCGCTCGAGGCCGCGGACGTCGTCGCCGTCGTTCCGCCGCGGGACCTCCCGGCGCGGCCCCCGGGCGGCGCCGCGGCCTTCGTCGCCCTCGAGCGCGCGCCGCCGCCGCCGGCG